ATATGTCATCATAACATAGTATAAGTGTTCACCCCAGTTGGTTTGTTTGGAGTTAACAAACTTTGCAAACATGTGCTTGAAATTCTGCATTCCCCGTTCCACTAAAACATCAGACTGGAGATTAGAAGGGGAAGTATACATTTTCACCACACCCAGTGCTTTACACAACTCCAAGAAAAATTGTCTGTTAATGTTAGTCCTTGTTCCACGTAGACCTCTTCAGGTGCTTTAAATTGAGTTATCCAGTGCTCTACCAGTGCATCAGTCCCAAATGTATTGACCAATGATTAACCTTTGGCCCACTTAATAAAATAGTCAATTATCACGAGTATTTACATGTGATCTTTTTTATCTCCAGGAGTAGACCAGTGATATCCAGAGCTGTTCTCTGTAGATGAGAACCAATATTTCTTTGCTGGAGTTTACACTGTTTAGGCTGACTTCTCTCTCTAAGTGAATCACTTCGTACAGTGTTTACACCAGTGACAAATGTCTTGACTTGAATGCAGCTAAAACAACCGATCTTGGTGCTTTCCAGTCTTCGTGTTATGCAAGATCTGGAGAATCTCATGCCTAAAGCTCTGGGGACTACCAGCTGTAAACCATGCTAAGAAACACTATTTGACAGTTAATAACAATGGTACAACATACCTTCTGTACTTGTAACTGGTCATACAAGTGTCATAAGTTACATGAATCCATGCTCAATCTGGGTCCTTCCTGGAGCTCTCGAAGTGTTAATTATGGCATCCATCCACTAGTGGTGTCGCCTTACTTTATGGGTTATTATTGCCATGGAAGAAACAGTCTCAACTCCCTCACAGTGTCCAGAATCAGGACATTCAATGAACAAACAGGGTCTCACCATTTGATGAGACAATCCTTGTACATTTCTGTGTTCAGGCCCAGGTAATAATGTATGATTAATTCACTTACCATGTTGATGATAATCCCAGCATGCAGCTAGTTGATCATCCATAACTGCAAAAAAACACAGAGACTTGACCCAAAACAATACTGCTCTAGATGTTATTTGCTTTCTGAACAGAAAACAGCCTATTTCATGTGTGGGTTTTATAACCACAATGACTGGCACAAACGCACTAGACTTTCCATAGTAAACCATAGAACACATCTTGTGAACATGGAATATAGTGATTTCTTCTTCCACATACAGTTGTGCAGTCCACTGTCCCAGGGTTTGATCTGGCCGACGTTGAGTAATTTTAATCTGGATCATTAGTTCACCAGTTACACATGCAAAACTGAACAATAACCCCTGTAGTAAATTGATCCAAAGTATGCCTATGCGATAACCGAGGTCATCAACAACTGCTTTCATTGTATAAGTGAAGAACTGCTAGATATAGCTGGAGCATTAACTTTCCATTCACATCTAGTTTATCCCCATTTGCCAGAATGAAGTATGTGTCGACTGGCCTGAAATGATGTTTTTGTTCATTATGAAATCTATCTATGTCTGGCCACTATGACAGGCAAATACAGACCCACCAAACTGTGAGAGAGATGGACTGACAATCACACTTTTTAGTGCATAGTGTCCACTGCACACCCCGAGTCCGTGGCCAAGACTGACTTTGGCTTCTCTAGTTTTCTTGGAACTGTGGCAATATTCACGGCATGCTGTTGGCTCTCTTGCACCAATTGCACCATTGGTCGAAACGAATAGCCTTGTCTACCTTGCTGCTTAGCATGCTAGGGCAGTTCACTCAAAAATGGGCCAACATTCCACATGCAAATCAGATGCTTGCTGCTCTCTACCGAAGTAACTTCCTGGTGGAAGTATCAGCTGCAGCATATACACAATGGTAGGATCATTATAGCCATGCCAATTTACTGGATGCCAGTGTGTTGCACAGCAATACCAAGATATATGAGTGGTTGGTTAACCCTTAGCTTGGTTCGAACCTAACATGATATAGGTGCTTTGGTACAACATTCTGTTTGTGGTGAAGTCACTGCAGCTGCTGCTACAAGCTTCTTCCTCTATTGTGACTAGTTCAAAATTACCACGTTTGTCCACATCATAATAGAAGCTCCTTCAGTAAGGTCGAAAAGATTTCTCACACTCATATGATGCCATATCATCACACTGGGTAGCCCTTCCACAAACTTGTCAATGAGGATATCTTCACAATCCGCTGAAGTAATTGCAGGGTAATCCTTACGATGCAAACAAGATAAATAATTTATGTAAGCAGTCAGCTTGTCATGGTGCTCCTCATCTGAGTCTTGAATTTGGCCTAATGGGTTGCTCTGTTTTCCACAGGGTTAATTCTCGGGCACAAATCAGTAATGATTGTCTTGTAGTCCCATAGTTGCCCATCATTAAAATTATTTATGTAGTCTAGGACCGGGCCATCTAAACTCATAAACAGGCATCATAAAAACTGTTTCAGAGTCCAACCATTCGAAACAGTTACCTGCCTGGAATGCTTCAGAAAAGTGGTCCAAATTCTCTTTTTCTGTACCTTTGAATGTCAATAGAGTGATCTGCTTGGCCTTGTTTATGGAGAACCATCATCATGACCAGACTCTTTCCTTCACGACTGCCTGATCATCTTTTCCTGACTAAGAAGGCCTAGACATCATAGGCACAGTGTTTTAGGTGCTCTCAGGGAACCTGAAACTCTGACAAGCAGTAGATCCTTGCTTTAGGGTTGCAGAATGACAAGGTGTGCTCGGCAACTCGTCCATTAGCTCTGTACAACTTCAGGTTTCTCTGTGGTCCATGGCTGTATTGGAAGCATAGCCTTCCACTCAAAGAGGCTCACCGCTGCCCCACAGTTCATTCAATTTGCCATTTGGTGTCTAACATCTCATCTCCTAGTGAGAAAGCTCCTGTTGGTGCCAATAATCCACGAATGACACCTCCAGTCTATTTTCGATGTTCTCAGTCAGCTTTGACCAGAACTGGGACTTGACTACTTGGATTGGTATGAGTCTGAAATTCCTATACAGACTTCCACCCTGGTCTCAGACTCACCAGACAACACACCACCATGACTATTCTCAGTCGGGAAGAGCATGGACAGCCATTCTTGGTGCACATGACATCAGCAGTTCTTCTTTTTGAGTCATTGGTTGTAGTAAGATAGAAGTCATTGCCCTCTACAACATTGACAAAAGTATAACACCCAGAATAGGTCTTCTCTTAGACTCTGACAGTTCTCTCAGACAGCCATCACCCCTCACTGACCATATCTCCTTCTTAGTTCTAAGTCCTTCTAGTTGGGGAAAATGCTGTTTCCTCCAACTAAGAAGCATTTTAAAACTTAAAGCACAAGTGTTCAAGTAAAGCGCATTATACATTTCAACAGAAATTGTAAAGTCTACAATATGATATCCTGCAGTCACAACACAAAGTTTTCTCCTTTGTGGTATATCCCGGTGAAACTGAATTAGTGTAAAAGAAATTGGATAGATACATTTCCTAGTGTGGTATTGTCAGGTAAACCAATTTCCTGACAAATACCAGATAGGAAATCCCATTAATAACAGCAGATATAAAGGGATTATTTTGCATTTGACATCCTGACTGAATTTATTTGAGTATAAAATAATGAAATTGGACAAATGTGAAGAAATGAATACTCTTTATTACAACAAACAAATAAACAAACAAAAAGCACAGTGTGTTTACTTGCACAAATGAAATCTCAATTGATTCTACTGGAGTGTGTTTAGCTCCACAATTTTCTTTTATTGAAGATTAATTTCCATATAACTAAAACACAATGTTCTTGAAGTATATCTTTGCTTGGTGATCTTCTACTAGAACTGACTCAAGAAAGTATACCTGAACCCAACAGGTAAATTGACTTTCTTTTTCCAGTTAACAGTGCCACCTCATGAACTTTGTTCTCTTATAGAATTGGGTAACTGTATCACATAGACAATGTCAACTCGACTAACAAAGGATATTACAATGCCAATATTTTCAACCTGGATGCCACATGTTACTGCAATATCCTCTCGGGCAAAAGAGATATTATTTACTATAGCAAATAAAGAAACAAATCAACTAGAACAGGTAATCTTAATGAGTTTTAAGACTATATTTTTCTGCCATTACAGCAAGGAAAATAAATAACCAAAATATTCTATACAACTAAAGCAGGTAGAAAACATAGTATGCTTGCATATCACAATAGCAGGAGGTTTAGTCCAGATACCAATTATAAAGTAAAAACTATATTTCTGAGTAAGTAAGTCATAAGACAAAATAATATGGCTAGACACAACACTTTACATGAACTGAACAATATTTATTATATGACACATAAGATACAAGCACAGTGTTTGTACACTTGCTCTGTTGACATGGAACAAATGCATTTACTTAATCTTCTATTTTCAACTCATCAAGCTTAATCTGTGTATAACACTAACTAAATCCAGTATTATTAACTTCACAAGAAATGTCATATTTATCCATAGAGTCTTGCACTAACCACGTGACTGATCATTCTCATTAAAACATAGATTAGGCCATAATCTCGAGATAGCACCTCAACGACCAATGAAGGACACCATTGTTGACATCCTTGTACGATGTGTAGTATTGCAGCAATACTTCTGTCTTGGGCAAAACATGTATTATCTACTTGAGAATAGCAATGGAACAAAGTCAGCTGGAACAAAATATCTTTACGACTTTCTCGATCGCATGTTATTTGAAACCTACACATGTAGAGAATAAATGATAAATTCGAAATAAATACTACAATATTACAGGAAAATAGAAATGCTTAGTATATTTAAATACTACACAACTTTTTTATTTTGCTAACTTTGAAGGGAAAGCTTATCTCAGAAATAACGGGACAAATCTTACATATTTTGTTTTCGAGGATAGTACCTTATCTTTCAAAAATGCCTATTCACTTATGAATTGTTCCATATTAACGCCTTTGTGAAGGAGGATACTGATTATTATCATTATAAAGTGACATACTTTATGAAAATTAGACTAATTACAGAGGGCGTTGAGTGTACATGTTGAAAGATGGCAGTTACGGGTTTTTATTTTTCGGAAAATGTTCCTCCAGATGCTGTAATATCGGACTTTCAGACTATGAATAAGTTAAACTTTGAGGTTTGTGCACAAAAATAAGAAGTAGTTGAATGAAGTGTTCATAGTGAAGGGTTCTCTCATTAAGTACATGTATAAATTAATTTGTATTTGTACAGGGGACTAGCTCTAGAAGTCGGACTCGGTAGGAGTAACTACGTTAATATCACTGATGTTATCAGCCCTACTACTAGAGCTATTGAAGAAGAATAGGAATAACTAGTTAAAATTTGGTAATTATAACGAGGAACCCACTTTGACTGTGAGACCAGTTAATTTTAGAGACGGTTGAAGTTGAATGGGTAACGAATCTAGCCGTATCTACTCAGTTTAACATTAACTAGTTAGAACTTAGACTGTAAGTGTAAAAGAGTAGTGTATTTGCTTGCTATGTCATAGTATGTGTACTGCAGGTTTTTATTTAATTACGTTAAAGGTAAACAGAATATTAGCATGAGCATTAACATAACATTTGGGGGCCATCATGTCTGTCCCATTCATCACCCATTTACCCATATCCAAACTTTAAATTAAAGTATGCTTTTATGTAAGGTTTTTTGTTAAAGACTATAAGATGGATGAATTTGTAAATGTTTACTTCTGTTTTTACAAGAGGAAATATCAGTAATATTCTTGATTCTGAATATTCTATGGGAAATATTGGAATTGAGTCATGTCGATATTACTACTTTGGTGATAAGTGGAAGGATGAGAGATCAAAACTAGATAATGCACCAGGGCCAGATAAAGTTTTCCTCAGGGTTTTAAAGGATGTCAAAGATCAGATATGTGATCCTCTCTCTAATTTTTGGTAAGTTAGTAGTCAGTGAGCAGGAGCAAATTTCTGAGGATTGGAGTTGCTTCTGTTACTTCTATTTTTAAAGGGGGTGATGGGACTGGGAACTACCCTTTGGATCAGTTAGGCTGGTGACTTGGAAAATCTTTCAGCCATTTGAATATTTTACTGGCAGACCAGTATAGTTTATTTAACATTAAGAGTATGAAACATACAACACATTATACTGCAACACACTGTTTTTTATTTCTGTGCTACTGCAGTAAACACACACTGACATTTGTAAAATTAACATCAATGTGAAAATAGAGAATAGACTGGCCATGCAAAAAAAAGGAATGATAAAAATCATTTTGCTAAACAGGTCATGTTTACTTAACTCTGACCAGTGGACCTGTGCTTTAAACAAACTAAAATGTCTTTAAAGAATATTTAAGATTATCAGAGATATGCAGTATCATTAAATCACAAATATAAGAATCTAGAAATAACTTGCAGGTGACTTGCACAAAAATTTGCAAATAACTAACTATCATATTTCAATGCTACAGTGATTTTTAAGGTTGATAAGAGTGCGATTGAAGCACGTTTTATTAATGTGCACAGATTGCCTAAATCTGATCATCTTTTGGTCATTAAAATAGAAAGAAAATGCCACAGTTTCCTGGACAGAAAGTACAAGAGGTTTAAGAACTTTCAATTTTCTTTTATCATTTGATGATCATTTAAAATGTAGCCATCTTAAAATCTGTTGGAATAAAAAAGAAAGTTGTAATCTAAATATATTTATATTATCTATTCATTTATACAGTATTCATTTTTAAATAGAAATATGTTTAAAGATTGGTTACTTTGTTTTTGTTTTTTTTATTACACCATTAGGTTTTCTATTGTGTAAAAAGTTATTATTCATTCAGCTGGGTACTGCTAAAAACAATCTACATTCTGTTTGTAATGTAATGTTTTGCAATAAAATTCAAGTTTCTATTATGCATGACTGTAACTCCAAGTGCAAAACCACACCACTAAAGCTTATGAAGTGCCTAGTCTTACATTGTTCTATGGTGAAAATTCTTATCAAACTGAGGAATGCACCATATTTCTGTATAATCAAAGAGAAGATCTAATGTAGTGAATGTTTACGTGACATAAACTGAAGTAAATATGCATGGCATCATTTAATCAAAACATGCAACATTCAAATGTAATAATTTGTCTCAAATTATACAATATTAAAATTTAATACTCTGTTTCAAAATCATGCAATAATAAAATGTAATAGTCTAATTACATGACAAGCAGTATTAAAATATAACTTTCTTTTACACGTCTTGTAATATTCTGCCTCAAGTCATACAACATTCAGTCTCCAATTATATTAAAATTTAATACTCTGACACATATCATACAGGTTAATTGTACAAGTTCCAAAAACCTTTCACACATATACCTAGTGTCTTCACTCTTGCAAAAGTAACAAAATCATTGATTTCATGAAAAACAACTCACATTTATAAGTAGACTTAATTGTAGATATTTAACCTAAGTGATTTATATGTACTTCTGTAAATCAGACAAAATAAAAAAGGCAAGATGGCGTGCCATCTCCAAGTGCAAGTGTTATAATTGTAAAAGTTAAAAATGTTGTTTTTGATTCCAAGCTATTAGTCATTGCTTGTTTTTTTTTTTATATTGTTATTATTTGACTTGTGTTCTTGCAGTTTAAAATGTTTTCAAACCAGTGGAAGTTTCACATATTTTTCACTTAAGTGATAACTGGTGATACTTAGTGTGATACAACAAACAATACTGACACACTATATGTCATAAACAATATTCTAAAACTTGTAACAAAAAATAAAAGTTGAAAAATTTTGCACTGGGAAATTTCAATGCTGTTGTCTTGTATAATGAAGTATAAATGCCTTAATTTTTTATTCAATTTCTCTCTCAGCAATTCAGTCAGCTGGTGGAAATAGTCTTTCAGTTCCTTGCAGGAAAGCATAATGTAAGTTTTGAATTTAAGCACATTATTGTTAAACAGAATGCTTGAATTTAAGTGCATTATTGTTAAACAGCATGCTTGAATTTAAATACATTATTGTTAAACAGAATGCTTGAATTTAAGTACGTTATTGTTAAACAGAATGCTTGAATTTAAGTACGTTATTGTTAAACAGAATGCTTGAATTTAAGTACATTATTGTTAAACAGAATGCTTGAATTTAAATATATTATTGTTAAACAGAATGCTTAAATTTAAGTACATTATTGTTAAACAGAATGCTTGAATTTAAGTACATTTTTGTTAAACAGAATGCTTGAATTTAAATACATTATTGTTGAACAGAATGTTTAAATCTAAATACATTATTGTTAAACAGAATGCTTGAATTTAAGTACATTTTTGTTAAACAGAATGCTTGAATTTAAATACATTGTTGTTAAACAGAATGCTTGAATTTAAATACATTATTGTTAAACAGAATGCTTGAATTTAAGTACATTTTTGTTAAACAGAATGCTTGAATTTAAATACATTATTGTTAAACAGAATGCTTGAATTTAAGTACATTATTGTTAAACAGAATGCTTGAATTTAGGTATATTATTGTTGTTAACAGGATGTAAGTTATATTTAATAGAACCATTCCATTCTCATACATCCTAATTATATAATCCTTGGCAAAGCTTGTTAGTTATTTGTGTTATTTCTACCATAATGTTGTCTTGGGTTTATGAAGTATATGTCTGTAGTTGGTTCAGTTCGATTACAGTAGATAAAAAAGCATGCCATTTTTCATGTCTGTAAGGTTAAATAAATCTTTCCCAATAATTCAAAGACCTTATTTTTTTATATCTTGTTGTTTTTTTGCAGGCTTTGATTTGGAGAGAAAAAAGTTCAGATAGAGCTGTCATGTTTTCATTTTGTGAGCATGAATCAATTATAGCTGGATGATTAAATTACAAGCAGCAATTACATTGATTAATTAAAATTAGTGTTTCTGATTATTCCTACAATCAATTAATTGAAATTATGATTAAATCAATTAATGTCTTAAAAATAATCAACTCATCGAAATTAGTGTTTCCAACTATCCATGTAATAAAAAATTTCTATTATATTTGTTGTTATGCATAAAGCTACATAATGGGCTGTATGTATTCTGTCCAGTAACTCACAACTTTTTTTTTCACTTCAAGTTTATTCATCTTTGGTGGTTCAGGGTGTAGGGTCTCATGATTTGAGGATCTTTGGTTCAATTTCTGTTGCCACAAAATTTGCTCACACTTATCTTTACTATGGAAAAATACTAAGGCTTATCTCCCACTGCCACTAATTTTGACTGGCTGGTAGCACCAATTGCCAACACGTTTTTCTTTATTGAACTGCTGACTATACAGAAGGCAACTAGATGGCAGCACCTGCAACTAATGTTTTTATTTTTGCTTTTATGTAATCATGGTTTGAGGAACACTTTACTTATCAATTAATGGAAGCATTGATTAATCTGTTAGCAAATACAACAAATCATCTTGTTCTAAATATCAGTAAATTTGAGTTTTATTTTGAAATGTTGCAAGAAATAAGTGATAAAGAGACTTAATCAATGAATTAAGTACAAATGTCATACCTATGGTATTCAAGTATACATTTTATTAGAATATTATGTAGTAAGTTATCTTAATAATGTAGAGATGGGATGAAATTCAAGAAAATTAACATTTTAACTAATTATTCTGGTATCACAGAAGTGTGATGAAAGCCAAAATTCATTAAGGTGAAAAAATTTGATTAGAGACACTACACAGAAAATAGCTATGTATAATAACTAAGAATTATTTGGGAACTTTTACAGAATTTATATATAGTAACAGTTTTTATAAAACTTAATAGCTGATTAGATAACTTGAAGGTATTGTAAAGGTGAATGTGACTTTAACAAGTAATGTGTAAATTTGTTTTTCTTGTCAATAAAACTTAATAATTCTCTGGTTTAGTCAACAGAATTGCTACAGCACTTAGGAACATTTTCAGAGAAACATGGGGTCAATCTGAGTGGATTAAGGAATATTATGAAGAGTCTGCTGCTTGTACCACAAGGTTTGAACTTTAGTAATAAGTTTTTAGAATCTTTTTTTTTTTCTTTTGAACCTAAATGTACTTAAGGAATTATTTTTCTGTGTAAAATCCACAGTAAGCCTAGTTCCTATTTTGTAGTGCGAGTGTTTGCTCTTGGCATGGAAGTACTTCCAAGTATAAATTAAATATTTCTTCAGAGTTTATTGCTTTTTTTAGTTGAGGATTATTAAAACTTATCTCTTAATTCAATTAAATATTTTATACTAAAACTGTATCACATTAGGTAACAACTAACATTTGAATTAATTTGATGGCATCAGTCTGTTGATGGACATAATTTGGTAATTATATATGCATTAATAAGATCTGAATAGACTACATCACTCTCACTGAACATCTTAAGTTAACTGCTAATGTTACAACTTTGGCTCTTGTGGAGGAAAATTTTAAAGCTGTTTGCAGGCAAAACAATCTTAAGACTCAGCTAGTATTTTACTTATTGGAAAAAACTGACATTTTGATAAAAATCTGAGAAAGAATCTTAAGTAACAACTGAAATTACTTTCAGGAGGTCTGAAAAGAGGAATTACAGCAGCACAGATGAGAGCAGATGCTGTTAAACTTGGTATGTTACAGTATATCTTCATAATAATGTAAGTTATAATTCAGTCTTCAAGAACACTATAAAACATGACATGTTTTCTAAAGTTAAAGGTTTTAATTTGTTATCCATCACACATCTAGTGTAAATGGAAATTCAGTTTATTGTAGAAGTATCACTATCAAATCAATCTGCAAACTTTTTTTTTCACTAGGTTTAAGTGAAGACAAGGCAGAACACTTGTCGAAAAAGGTAAAAAAATACTGTGAATCTAATTTTTTGCAATTAACAGTATTGTGATAAAACAGTTAAATCCCATGTAATAAAACAAATTACTAATTTTTATCTATATATTTGTCAGAATTTAAAATAAAATATATATATATATATATATATATATATATATATGTAACTTTTTTTTACGCCCATTGTCAAATAGAAAGGCTTTTATTTGTATTTCTTTAT